TATCAGCCAGAGGTCACCTGTACAACGCTGTCGTGCGATCAGCGCCACCGCATAGACTAGGCCACTGCATATTAAAAACATCAGGAACGTGATCTCCGGTGGTCACTGTAACCAGCGAAAGATGTGGAATTATGATGAGGGTAGCTTGCTAAACAATGTCATGGTCCACCGGTTGGTGTTTTCTAACGAGCCCTCCGGGACGCTGCTGGAGTTGTGTACGATAAATGGATCACGTGCTTCGAATGCTCTTCGAGCACTTGCTTTCTCTTATCCGCTGATTTTGACCACTGCATTTATTTGGTCGACTTAGGGTACGGCAAAAAGCCATGAAAGGTGGCAGAACCGTTTGGTTTGGGTTGGCGGATGTCGTCTTCCAGGATGCTGGCCTCTAGATCGGCCACACCATTGGCTAGCACATTATCTGGCATTTAGTTTAAAACTTTTCCCCGCGAACCTCTTCACCTTATCATGTCTCCATCAGCGATTTCACCAGTTTTGCTCTTCCCCCTTGCTATTCTTTATTTTTCTACAATACATGTCACAATAAGAAAAAATTCGTTGAATTTATGTTAACGAATCTTTGTTGTTCAAAGGAGCCGACGTTGAAAATCTTTGTGTGTAAAATAATGTTACTACTCATTACTTGATAGAATTCTCATCTTATCCTTGTCAGAACTTGCGCGCTTTGATGTATGGCCTTCCAGCCACTCCACGTCACGCCGTTCGACGCATCGCTGGTCGTATAGTGCCTGCCATCGCAACTACAACTGCAACTGTCGCTGGTTTGGTGTGTATCGAGCTAGTCAAATATGTTTGCGCTGCTCGCGATTTTCGACCTCCATCCAGTTCGCTATCTCTGTGTGCCCGCAACGCGTTTCTCAATTTGGCATTACCAGTTATTCTCCTCAGTGAGCCGGCTCCCTGTGCTCACCACCGTTTGCCCAACGGAATGACGTTCACTCTTTGGGATCGTTGGACTTTGTCTTGTCCCATGGAGGTGGAAAAGTTCTCCCTATCTGACCTCCTGGACGAAATTAAAGTAATTTTTGTCTGTTTCGCACTATCTGTGTTCCACCTGTGTCATCAACTCGTTCACAGTCGAGGCACTTGTCGCTCCTGCTATTGGGGGTGTGCAATATATTTCCACGGAACATGTCCAAGATTCTCATTTTGCCCATGTAAATCGAGTTTCCCTCTCAGGTTCTCTACACCAGCTCTTTTAGGTTCACCATTCAGCGACACAATGTACTCTCACCTTTCAATACGCCATTGTACTTTTGCTAGCATGACCTTCCCCGATGCATGGAGCTGCGCTAACAAGTGCTTGACTGCCAAACGTCGCATGCTTACGTCTTTCTGCCATCGTTCAGCTTTTCACTGGTTACCGAAGATGGATCGCTAGCATATATATATATATATATATATATATATATATATATATATATATATATATTCTGTGGTACGAATATTGTGCTATCGGAATCATGGCGGAATTTGAGAACAGCGCCAGAATAACAAAAGGAAATAACAGGCAACTATTTTTGTCAGATTTTCCACTCACATTTTTAAGTATTTGTTTATCAGTTTGTCTTATTAAGGGAAGGAGAGGGAATCACCGCAACATGCACAGCTACACGTCCGCCACTGATGTCGATCTTGGGCCAAAGCTTCCATGGTCTCCAACTAGAGACACACCATATCTCTGGCACCGCAACCAGCAAGTCGAGAATAACCGACTAAGGCCAACTGCTTCGTCGGCTTTTTCATGCCTCTTCTCCAAAGTGTAGGCTGTCCACCATGCAGCTTACTCCCGCCCTGCCTAGCAATCGCGAACAATGCACAACGCGGAATGCGCTGAGCGGGAATGCGCAATACGTGCCCAAGCAACAGCAGTTGACGCAATGAGACAAGCTCCTCGAGCGAGGGACTGCAGTGGCGTAGCAGAGGGAAGGGCGGTCCGCCCCGGGCGGCATATGATAGGGGGCAGCATTTTTAGTACCGTCGATTGTTTGATACCAAATATAAAGTGCAAAATTTCCAGATAAGCTGAGGGTTGAATATTTCAATGTTACTCTGTATGACCAACGACACCCTTGCGCTATGTGTCACACCTGCGCAAATCTTTTTCCAAGCGATCTCCTTACTTAATCCATTGTGGTCACTTTTACCACATTTACCTCAGTGTCCCAAATAATCCTCCATTTCATCGAAAACTAATCTACACTTTACTCCGAGCCGATTGTGTGGCCTTCATGCGCGTATCCTCTCCTCACTCAGGGTGAAAATTTTGCCACCGCCCCAGGCGGCAAAAGTAGTTGCTACGCCACTGATTACCTCCACCCAAGACGCGCTGTCTAACTTCCGCATTGCTTACTTGGTGCAGCTAGCACACACGGGCAATGGAGCACAAGCAACGGCGCTCGAAGACAGACAGCCGGCGCAGGTCAACGGCTCGAACAGACCAGGTCTCGCAAACGCCAAACTATACAACATAGACATTCGCACAATAAACCCGCCCTTTGGTAGAGATACGGATGTTAGGGTGCCGCCACAAGAGACTCAACCTGGAGAAAACGAGATGAGCTCTTGAGATGTGCATTGTAATCTCGTTTCCAACTTCTCCTCCAGCAGTGATGCAACTTCCTAAGTGGACGAAACTCTCCACAACCTCCAGTGTTCCGCCACCGAGATTGAGGGGAGGTATAGACATCTGCCAGTGTTGAAAAAGTGCTTTGCACTTGCATGGTGAATAATGCATGCCATACTTTGCCGCTTCAATCGCCAAGCGGTTAAGTGCACGTTGGACGGCCTGCGGACCGTCAACCAGCAAGACGATATCATCAGCGTAATCCAAAGCAAGGACTCGACTACTTGATAGAGCTCAACGCCAGCGTTCACCGAGTCTTCGAGAGCATTTTCGAGGGCATCGTCAATGACAAACTTGAAGAGGAATATGGAGATAGGGCATTTTTTGGAACCCCATTGGTGACAACAAAGGAATGCGAAAGCTTGCTATAAGCCCTAACTGTACCCGAAGTCAGACCGTACATAGTACGCCGCACGCAAACGAACATCCTGTGGACGTCATTCCACAACAGGCAGTGCCACACTGCAGTCACGTCGGCAGAATCGAAGACAGCACGGATATCCAGGAACACGACAAACGTTGGCCTTTGGTACACATGGCGGAGCTCGAGTATCTGGCAGAGTGTGAGAATTTGATCGCTGCACCTGCGACCATGGCGGAACCCAGCTTGTTCTTCTCGCTGTAGCGATTCGCTCGTTGGGGATAACGTGGGAAGTATGATGGACACCCGGAGCTCGCAGACGACAGGAACCAAACTCATACATCTGTAGTCGGAGCAGATTGTGCGCAGACTCTTTTAAAAAATGGGGACGACAATCGACTCACCCCAAAACGATGGAACCTCCACTCTTGACCAGATTTCTGAGAACAAAGTGGTAGGCTCTCGAACCAGCGAATATCTGCCGTCTTTAAATAGAGCGGGATGTAAATTTATCAGAGCCGGGTGCTTGTTGCGTTTTGCGAGCCGGATTTCTTGCCACTTTTCCTGGTGAGAGGGAGGATTTGTGGGGACAGTACATTCTGCACCAGAACGCGCTCCGTAGGAAGCAGGTGGAGCTGTTGGCCAGCAAAACTGTGAGCCAACATGTTCAGCCCATCTTTCCAACCGTCGTTGAAGATTTGTGATCAGTGAGCCATCCTCTTCACCAATTCTTTTGCTTGCACCAGATCGGAAAACTTCGGTGAATCGGGTGAGATGGAAGAGTTTTCTGGTGTTACCAGAGAGACTGGTAACTTCCATCTCTCCAGCACGTTCACACCACCAGGCTTCAACGTACTATTGTAAACTCCTGCGCAATTCTCAGTCGAGGGATCGACGTTCGTCACTACAGCTGGCGTTGGCTGCGACCGAGCGGCGTCTGTCAATCAGCGACAATGAGACAGCGGTGATCCGGCTTTTCGGCAGGTGACAGGTAAATCCACCAAAATCAATGCTCGCAGTAAATAAGACATTTTTGATGCGCGCCCATTGTGAAATCACCTCATACTCAGAAGCTGAGACAAGCAATATCGAGGGAAAAGCTTGGTACTTGGATAACGTCATAGGGTCGTGCAGATTTTCGTTGTTCGGACGGTATGGTATACGCCTGGGCGATCCTCCGAAACGCATGCATACCTTAGCACGTACCAATGCGTGATCGAAGTCCAGACAAGTTGAGCAGTACGATTTGGCAGTCTGTTACGCTTCTGCGCCATCTTTAGCTTCGTGCTATGTAATTGTTGATGAAAGCAATCCTTGACTGCATCCGGGCTGCAGTCTGTAGAAGCGTACGCGTAAACGACAAATAAGGCACGTTCATTATCTCGACGCTTACTTAACTTGCATGAACCTGGTATTCTGACTGTGTAAAACTAAGTGTTGACTGGGATCCAGTCAAGCACAGCGGTCTCAACCCTATCACTCAATGCAACCCCCACAGTAGACTGGTCAGAAGCGGTAGCCTCTGGGTCCCCGGAAAGGCGCAAATGGCATTTGACGTCAGGGTTTGCCGGAGTGGTCATTCTGATGACAGTACTGGCGTCTTTCAATGTGATTTCCGAAAGGCAGCAAATGTCTATCGTGAGCAGCATGATGGTGTGGACCAGGCAAACTTGCCGTTCGATCTGCATCAGAGTGCGAACATTGAATGCTACGTGGCCGAATGGAAAACCAGGTCGAAGAAAAGCTGTAGCCTCGGTGAAGTGTGAGAAAACTCTAGTCGCTGGGTATTGAACATCAAGAGTTCGACTGTTACTTCCATCAGGTGCATCCAGTGAGTTGCTGTTGGCTGTGACCGGGAAGGGCATGAGCATATTTGAAGAACATGACGCGTTACTTACAAGTGCAGATGCTTTACTACTGTGCCAGGGTTTGATAGCGTCCGGAGTGAAAGCGTTGGAACAGAATCTTTCCAAGTGAAGCGTAGGGAGGAGGATCACCTAGGTACGTGAAGGGGATCAAATAGATTGGCGCAATGTTTGTGCTGCTACTGTTTTTGGGGATTGAGGAAGATAAACGGCGATGAAGCAGGTGAACGATACATCAGCTAAGCGACTAAAGCTTAAGACACAGGCGTGTATCGCATTAGGTCTTAGCAGTGGACTTGTAAAATCCACCTGGTTGGGGGCTGCTGATCAACTTGAGTCATTGTCGTGGTCTACTGACGACAATGACGGGTCACCTTACAGGTTGAGGTGCTTGCTATGTGACGGGCAGCCTGTAGCTCATGGTGTCGACAAAGGGATGAGTACAGCTGCTCCACCCAAGTGCGGGTGGTTGCAGGCCAATGCATTCTCCATCACTCGTGCGATTCAACAAAAGGAGTTCACATTTCTTAGGCCTTAAACACAAGTGAAGTGGCGGGGCGATGCACGAGTGTCCTAGGGACGTGGAGTCCATTTGATCATGACAGCCCCAGTGGGTGTGGCAACTGCGCAATTCTAAGGTCAGCCGATAAGAGAAGATTGTCTAACCGCGTGGGTTTGCGCACACTCCCACTGATGCACGGCTACGATACGCGATATCGTGACCCAACTGAGGTGAACAAAGGAAATACGGTCCACAGATATTCGTGCTGCAAACGTGACTCTATTTCACAACCACCAACTGTGCACGCATTTGAAATAACGTCAAGCTACTTGAGTCCAGGCACGGGTGGATGTGGTCAGGTAGTGGGCACTGGATTCCATGCCACATCAATCACCAGGCCAACTCGACCAAAACGATGCCACACTCGCGCGCGGATATCATCGGGGGATCGGATGAAGCTAAGCTAATTCGGAAGCCGGAAAGGGAGAGAGGAAGACATCAATCTGTTGCGAACCATGGTCTGGAATCAGACATCAATGAATTAAGTACATATATGTATAGAGCTGACTATAATTCAAGCGCTTGACTCCTCAAATAAACGGGAGATGAGGAAGATAATTGCGATGGACGTTGGTTGCTGTCTCAATATCGGAGCTTCACCCAA